AATCAAAAAATATCACTCGCGACGTTACCTTCCCCGGCCCAATCCCCTACTCCGTGGAGCCCTGTAACCTTCCTCACCGACACAAACACTAAACCACCGAAGGACGTGTTATATTACTGCGGTCTGTTGTAAGGTGGAGTTTACTTCCCCAAACCAGCGCTAAAATCCGTCGGAGAATCCGCTCTTATACATATATACCTAGTCAGGTCATAAATTCTGTCACATTTTAAATATAAAATAATTGAAACAAGTTTATTTATTATGTAACCATTTATATACCAAAATGAACTTAAAAAATCATAGATTATTATGACAGTAAAGTTTATTCAAAATGACCTCCGTGATTTTGAATACAGGCCTTCAATCTTCGCGGCCAGTCGTCTATCGCAGCACGAACGAGGTCCATGTCGATATCGGCGGCTGCCTTAATCAAGGATGTCTTGAGTGACTCCAAATTGGGATGAGGCTTTGAACACGCCTTTTTCTCCAAGTGTTGCCATATCTTGTAATCTAACGGACTCAAATCTGGACTGGAGGAGGGCCAGTCTTCGTGCCGGATGAAGTCGATTTCACGATTTCACAGTCAGTCTTGTGTGCTCTTCGCTCTATGAGCTGGCGCCGAATCTTGTTGGAATACCCAGTGCCTATTATTGAACATGGTATGAGAAACAGGTTCCACAAGGTTCGTCAGGACTGTATTTTGATACACAACTGCATTCGTTTTTACACCTTTCTCACAAAAATGTACCTCTGTTAAGCCCTAATAAGAAACTCTCAACCATACCATGAGCTTCGATTTAAACAAAAAGGGTAGATACGGCACTAGCCTCACGAAAGTGATCCGCATGAATTGTGGTCAACGACCCTAATCGCTTTAGTCACAACTTGACATACAAACGACATACATGTGAACGCCAAAAAGAAATATTGCTAATATTTTGTGTTTATATGATAAATGTTTTTAATAAGTGCTCAAATTGCTCAAGAACTAAAAATAAAACCCACGGCATCACTTTTCGTTCGTAAGTACCTACTATAAAATATATTTTTTCATAAAAATTGCTGTTTGTTTTGAATCTTATTTGGTAGTGACGTCGAGTACTGGTCGCGTGATTGGTCGGTAGTGCAGTGACGCGGAGCTCGCCGTCTCGTTCGCGCTGCCGTTGAAACTTAACGTGCAGTTTCGTTCGGGTCGGTAATGCAGTGACGCGGATCTCGTCGTCCCGTTCGCGCTGCCGTGGGATCAGTTTTTGTTGATGCAAGTATGAGCGTACCGTATCTACCCTTTTTGTTTTAATCTAAGACCATGAGCGACGATGTAAAATAACCTCGCTGGACACGCGGAATACGGTTGCTCGCTTCTTCACTACTGTGTGCGTACATCTTATCATTTTGTTTATTGTAGCTCTCTTCTACGATAAAAATTTTTTCATCCGAAAAAAAGGATTTCCCGATTTTTTTCCCCGCGTACCGCTTCAACAAAGCGCGGCATCACTTCAGTCTTAGTCCATTAGACGAGCATTCAAACGATTTCCTGTTTTTCTTCGATATGCCCGAAGCCCTAAATCTTCATTTAACACCCTTTTCACCGTGGTTCTGCTTAAGCTTAAGCCCCATCTGAAGGGCCAACAGTTTCTGTTTACGTTTGAGATTTCTTTGAATTCGCGCCTTCACAGCTTTTGTCACTGCTGGAGTCCTAACAATAAATAAATAAATAAATATTTCCAACACACACACCAATTAGCCTAGCCCCAAAGTAAGCACTATAAGGCTTGTGTTATGGGATACTAGGGTAACGGATAGAATACATATATTGTACATATATAAGTATATTTATATAGAAATACATATTAAACATCCATGACTGGAGTACAAATGCACGTATTCATCACACAAACATCTGCCCCCACCGGGATTCGAACCCGGGACCTCTCGAGTCGGCGACACCATTAAACCCGGCGTACAAACCACTCGGCCACGGAGGTCGTCAACAGACCGAGGGCGACCACTTCTTGACCTGTCATCTACACTAGAGTCTTCATTGTATCGTTTGATGGTACGATAAACGAATCTTTTGGTTATATCCTAATTTTTCAGTATGTCAAAAATTTTAATTGGCGCGTAACCGCAACGATGCAACGCAATAACTGCAACACGGTCTTCTTTAAGCGTCCACTCCATACTTCAAAATTAGTAAAATTCTAAAAAGTATACATTTTTATTTTCATGAACAATTCGAAATTCGAATTCAATAAACTTTTTGTGGCCAGCATTCCAAAAGAAAAGTTATTACTGTGTGACAATACTTATGACCTGACTGTATATATATATATATCTCTTTGAAGGTACTGACATTATCCTCGGATGGACTGGGCTTCTCATAAGTAGTGGATGTAAAAATCGGCGGAGTCACAGCTGCTGATTTCCATTTTTCAGGCTCTTGTCCAGCTCGAATGGCGAGCGTCGCAAAACCGGGCCTCCGACTTAAAAACCCTTGATTTGAAGCTGCCATCTAGAAATCGAAGAATCGGCAATATATTAAATCAATATGGACAACTGTTTTTTGCTGTCATAACATAACAACAACATTCTGGACTCCAAACTTAAAACTAAATTTAACATCAGTCTCTACTTTTCATTTTGTTCGTGCCCGCATAAGCCACATTTATTTAATACAAAAGAACGTACTAAATTGTGTCAAAAGGTTTGCACTTATTCACCGAGTGGCGCTATCTATTGGATTGAATAAATAGTGCGCTTCGTACTAAACGTCAATAGCGGTCTATTCCAAACCTACCACGTGCTTCGAGGATTCGCCATAGATGTCGCCTGTGTACCTATTCATTCAACTGTTTTACCCGCAATACCGTAACGACTAGTAAAAATATATCTTGCACTATAAAACTCACTTCATCAATTACATAAAGGGAAATACAAAAAATCACCGAGTTTTATTGAAGAAGAGTCCACTTCTATGCCCAAACACATTTTGTTTAGAGAATCATGCCAGAATCGACACACTGTAAAATATTATAACACTATATTATAGTAGATACTTACTGTCTCAGTCCGTTGTGCAAGCAATACCAAAAAGGTCGTTGATTAAAATACTTATAATTTTAGTCAAGATTTTTGTTTTAACATTTAGTTGTTATTTTTGCAATTAATAAATTTTACTACACGAAACTAAAATATTAGCAAAAGAAATGAACTATAGACTATTTATGAAAGAGTCTTATTTTAAACTGATGTGTACTATTAAAAAATTTAAACTTATAATCAAACTACGAAACCCACTATTCACACCTGAATGTCACTTTATAACTGAATACAAACGTGTTTAATATTTTTTATCACACATTCATTTTGTATATTATGTTGTTAGAGATATCTGACGATCCCGGTCAGAGGGGCTATCAATTTTAACTTAATGTATTACTCAATTGTAATATTTGTTGCTAACGGTGTTTTGTTAATGATAACCAATAAAAATAGGTACCTCTACTTCAAATAAATATTTGATTATTTTAGGGGGTTTCCTTATGCAAAATAATAAATCGAAAATGCGAATATATCAAAAATATTTATTTACTTACTATATATATAAATATATATATTACACAACACAATCGAATAGTAAAATAAAAAAATGTACAAGTATCACAAAAAATAAGTATTCATTAATCGTGAAACTTATGACTGATAAAAAAGCAAATAGGTAAAACTTAACAATCTGTTAAGAACATTCCTGACAAAAAACATCAACAAAACATTATACTTACTAACACACGTGGTAAAAAATCATTTACAAAAGAATGACGGTGTGCTGTATTTGCATGAAACATAGTGGCATTACCCCGATTACTACTGTTAAAGACATTTAACATGTCATTAATATTGTATAAAGGATATTGAAAAGAAATTCGAACCCAATAGCTCTATTTGATCTATGCTAAATATATTCGTTTGTACGGACCCTCTTCATTTGAATTGTAAATGCCTACCACACACGACACCTTAAGCAGACTGAATGATTTCATTTCTTTAGTGATATAGCAATGAAGGTACTGTTAAATATTATAATTGATCACTATTATATTGAGATCCAGTTTCAAAACAGGGAGACTGAATTTTATTTTCTTTCTCTATCAGGTAGATTTCGAAAAAGTATTGGACACGCATTTTTTCTTTTTTCACATATTACAGAGATATATTGATTTGCAATGTCGTATGACGTCACATCGCGGTACAATTTTTGCTTAGAAGTGACGTCACGAGCTCCCACTCGCAAACTTTGACGTCTTTTACTTTGTGATTTTTTGGTTGATGAACAAAAGAAAAAATAAGTTTCTTTTATTTTTTTAATAATCTAACTGACACACTTAATAGAATTTCGTTTAGTTCACCTCGTCATTATCCCTATTGACAGAAAGCGACCAGTGTCCGTGATAAGGAAAAAAGATTCTGTTAGTATAATTTTTTCTTCTTCCTTAGAACAGGGTGTAAAATTGTCCGATTGATTAGAATCGTTGCGTCCCGGCATTTACGAAAGGTAAGGGTGTCGTCAACCAATCACTAACTATTTATTGCTTGATTTGTATCATAAAAAATATATTCATAGGTCCTTGCTTGTATCATATTTTTGTATTTTCGGTACAATTTCATTCGGGTAGGTAGCGTATTATGCTAGGGTCACGCTAACTATAGGCACTCGTTTTCAGTGATTTCTTGACAAAATATATGATAAACTGTATTTATTTGTAAAGTTGTATTTGTTAATTTTGAATATAATACGATATAGAGATTATAACATAGCCACTGAGTTTTACGTACAGATTTCTTAACAACTCATTAGAGGTATTCTTATAAATTTATTTAATTATTGAAAAAAAAAACAATGGAGAGTAGACTAAAAGTTAAAGGAATGCACACAAACTATTGTTAAATATAAATATTATATAATTAAAATATAAATAAACAGTTAAAACTCAACAATTAATGGATCTAACAACTGAAGTACATAGTAGTATAAAAACAGGTAACTCACAGCTTGAATACTACAGAAAATTTACATATTATTTAAATTTCTTGCAACTTAATTCATTATATGAATAAGTTACATGGGTCATATCCAACGAATTAGAAATGATATGGAAGCATTACAACCTAACAAAGGCCACTAAAACATGGTTCCTAACCCATATTACTAAACTACTAAACATCAATACTAACGCGACACACACACAGACAAACCCAAAATACCTTGACAAATTAAATCGGCTATCCATTCATTGGGTAATGGACGACATGTTGATCGCAGTTTCTACGCCCCGCCCACTTGATCACAGTTGCGTGGAACCACTTTTTAGCGCATTTCGTATTACATATTATTTCCAATTCGTTCGTCATATCGTAAAATATTATCGAGCAACTGTACAGCTCACGTCTATCACATTATATTAATAAAATTAATAATGCACTTAAACAAATAAATACAAAAAAGCCGAATTTATGATTAATCTCACTAAACTCCCACAAAGATGGAAGACTGATATTATAAATAATATAAAAAGCTACTTTTTTTTCAACATTTGCTATTAGGGACCTCATATTCATAATTTTGTAAAAAACCTATGAAAATATTTTTGTACATTATTGTGAGATTACTTGAGGAACGTTTGCAATACAGTTGTTTTAAAATGATGCATCGAAAGCTTGGCTTATATCTTCGATGAGATCTTCAACATCTTCTAGACCTACGGAAAGTCTGATCAACGAATCTGTTATACCTAACTCGGCTCTCTGAGGCGCGGGCACTGAAGCATGAGTCATTACAGACCTGAAACAAAAAGTTACAATAGACATTCAAATTAATTAAAATATAAATGCTAAAGAGTTTCTGTCTGTTACCTATTCACGCTCAAACCGCTGAATCTATTTAGATGAAATTTGGTATAGAGAGAGTTCGAGTCCCAGGAAAGGACATAGGATAATTTACATCCTAGAAATAAGTCGAAATTTGAATGGGAATAAAACTTTTTCCATGCAGACGACGTCGTGGGCAACTGCTGGTTTTAAATAGGTATAAAATTTCAAAACAAAAAGGTGCTATGTAACCTATGTTGTGTCAGGTAGATTTGGTAGTATAATATAGGTAACTATTCAATTTTTGCCCCAACACTGTTGAATATTCAGACCATTTTTTTAGCCGAGGAGGATAATAAATTATTTACATAAAGATCATTCATATCGATAACGTATTATGCTAACTGTAACATACACAGTTAACTGGTTTGTTGAGCTCCATGGCGTAGTGGTAAACGTGTTCTATCCATGATTGTGAAATTTAAGCAACTTCCAGAATAGTCAGTCATAGGATGGGTGACCAAAAATTTGTTAAGCGCGATAAGCTTTTGGTCCCGGTTGCAACTGTTACAACAGTCGTTAACACTTAGTATAAAGCACAGGGCCTGCGTGATGATTATATTAATTCTGTAATTGCGCCGCGCCGCGCCGGTAGGATCATAAATGCATATTTTTGATTACAATTATGACACGATTAGCACATTATGCCAAAATAATTAAAGGGAACGATATGTATATTAACTTTTAGTATAAGGCAAACTGTTATTGTACTAATATTATAAATGTACAAGTTTGTATGTTTGTTACCTACTCAATCACGCAAGAACTACTAAACGGATTTGGATGAAATTTGGTGCACGACTTGGATTGAGTCATAGGATACTTTTTATCCCGAAAAGCGTCAGGTTTCTGAGAGATTAAAAAAAAAACGTAAGTTAACGTGGACGAAGTTGCGGGCGGCCGCTAGTTGTTTATAAAAACAAGTCAAGTACAAACAAATAAAATATTTGGTAAAAAGTTGATTCAAAATAAAAATCTTACGGTAACTCCGCCAAGCTCTCGTATCCGCCCAAACTCTCGGCCAGTGTGAATATCTTGAGAGAACTTAAAAACTTTCGTGATTCTTTCAGTCCGCCAGAGTGGTTGAAACTGAAAACGCCCGAATGCCCACTGGTTTGTTTCTTCGCTATTTCATGTTGCGGATGTGATGGGAGACCTTAAAAGATAGATAAAATAAATAAATTTCGAACATTCACTTCAAGTTATTAGTCCTCTATCCCAAACTGAGAAGAGGTTGCAAAATCGATAAAAAAAATCGGACCAGTGCGATTCGAACTGATTTGCCTACCGAGGGTTCCGTACAAATTTATAGGTACGCAACATACACAGCCGTACCTCTTTTTTACGTTAACGTAGATGTTTGATTTTTTTCACAGCTTAAAGGGAATGTAGACTTGAGTACATGGTTTAAAGGAGAATGCCTATTGGTAACATCGTCCTTGGTCGGCCATATACATCCACCAAATTTATATAAAAAAATATGTTTTTAATTTTCACAATACCATGGTAAATAATAAACCATAACTTCGAACAAATATCCCTATGTATACATATAATAAAATGGGAGGAAAGTCAAAATTGCACATTGAATATTTTTTTAATAGAATACTTGGGGTGTGATCTACAATCGATACCGAAGCCAAAAATTTAGCTTTTACAATTTTCGTCTGTTTGTCTGTATGTATGTCCGGGATAAACTCAAAAAGTACTGCATGGATTTACTTCAAATTTGACACGAATATTATTAAGAAGTCGGGTCAACATATTATAATATAGGCGACATATTATCACGCTATCACCTACGGGGAACCAGCAGTGAACCTTTATTTCTAACTAACTGCACACGTACGAAGTCGCGGGCGCCCGCTAGTAAAATATAAATCAGTTATTAATTCACTTTCATTACATTTATATCTTTTGACATTTGTCTCCTCGGTGTTGCCATTGTGTAACAACCGTATCGATTTACCAAAATATAAGGGATTCACTTGTAGTTATTTCATAAAAATAATGAGTCAGATTATGTTTTAGATAATTCAATATGATAAACTCTATATTAGGAGCTGCCGGAACAAAACGGTATAATTACGCATCTGGTCAAACAACTTTTTCTTACAGTTCGGAGGTTTCGTCGTCGGTTTTTCAATCAAAACCGCTAAAAACAGTGTTAAAATTACTAAATTTATAAATTAAAAATCATGCCAAAAGCTCCCTGGAGGTATATTATTCAGTTTTATACAGCTCCTGTAAAAGTTATTTTATGTAATATCTCCAGCTCCCCATATTAAATTGCATTACAATTATCGCAAAAACGTAGTGTGATCTGTATATTAAGATTCTTAGGTATGGATATAGACACAAAAGTTGATAATACACGTTCAAATGGCTAGTTAACCGTTTTTTAACGGATACCGGGCCAGTACCATCACTGCTGTCTTAATTATTGAAGGGTTGTCAGAAAAAGATCGCATCGGCTCGGTGTCCGGTAAAAAAGCGGCCTTCGACAAACAGCAATTCTATATATGCATTTATGTCAACATGCATGACTGACGATCATGCACACGAGTCATTCATAGTTTGCACGCTGTTCGGATTGATATCAATAAAATAAACGATTTTTTGTTTTACTCAGCATGTCATGCTGCAATACTGCCCACAGATATAACACACATTCTATCAGATGTTACCATAGAGATATAACAATAGAGTAGGGGAGAAGTGTCCCTCTAATAGAAAGAAGATGAGAGACCGCTAGTTTTTTCTCTCTAATCACGCATGCGTATTGGCAACCGTAAGCATCTTACTATTTCGATGTGATGCCATTGGATGCCATGCGTTACAAGAGAGAGAGATAGCTAGCGGTGTTTCATTTTCTTTCTCTTTCTACTAGACGGACACTTTTAGAGCCGCCTTCCCCACTCTATTGTTATACCTCTATAGATATTACACGCTATACATACAAATATGACATTTATGCTTCTAGTATGATCATCATAGACATAGTATCATAATAGATTTATGACAATGTAATTAATAATCAATCTGTATTAAACTATTGTGCGAGTATCGATTAATCGGAAAAGATGAATATCGATTCATTTTTCCTGTGGGGACGATCTGTCCACACTCGTTCAGATTTCTTTGATAAATATTAGTGTTTTTTAATATTTTCTTTCTATTTCCTTTACGCTGAATTGATTTTTGATTTCAACAAACCATCTTATATGTAAATAAACTTAAAAATGGGAAGGGAAACAATATTAATATAATGACCTTTGATATATCCTCTTTCGTATTACCTGTCGAGCTAGAGAAAAAAAATTTTTCATTATTGAATCTACTTGTAAATTGAAATTTTAAATTATTGAATCTACACATAAATAAATTAACAATAAAAGGTTAAAATCATCATTGTACCTAATCTTTCGTAGTGATACTACAGTCCATGTACTACGATGGGCTCTCCTTTCAACTTGATACCTCCACGCGTTCCCGAGATAAATAGGACTTGACTGACAGACAGACAACAAAGTGATCTTATAAGTGTTCTATTTTTTTATTTTGAGGCACGGAACCCATAAAATGCTCCCGGTGAGTTTACGTATATGGGATTCAAATCCTGGACCTTTACAGCAGTAATTAGACAGAATCACTGCAGAAGACAGCACGCGTGGTAAAAATTATCGCGTATATTTTTACGTTAACTTTTTCCTACTTGTCTAACACATAATCATTTATAAGCATTCTCTTTCCTAGAGCTTTTTTGAAAAATAAATGCAGTGCTTACCAGGATGCATAACCTCGGTCACTTTAGGGTGCTTTTCTAACCACTTGGCTATAACCAAAGACGATTCTCGATGGCGCTCCATACGTAAAGCTAACGTTTTCAAACTTCTATTGACAAGATAGCAGTCAAACGGCGATGGGACTGCTCCCATTGCTGAAACAAGAATTGAGGAAATAAAGATTATAAATCTTGTCTCTGCATCACCCATTTACTCAACGCTAACCTGTGGAAACGAATAGATTTTTTATACGTTTGGTGGCAATATCGATATATGTGAATGTGGTGTAGGTAAGTATTATAAGGTATAGTATTTTTTTAAGGTGTATTAAATCCCTTTGCGCATCCCGCATAGGACTAGGTGGGGTGGGGGATATTGCCGCGCCTTGTATGAAAAGTCTCAACATTTGACGGCTTATAATAGCTTAATTCTTGACTGAGGAAAGAGATTATTATTTATATAAACTAGGACTCGAATTGTGATAAGATTATCAGTCTTTTACTTAAAAAAAAGCAAAACATTTGTTCCCAAATATTGCTAGAATACATATTAACGTCACAGCAAGGTTGCAAAGCTTGGATTGGAACACCTATATTAATTATTATACGAGTATTTAATTATATTTGACGTCTGTGCCGTATTATAACTCCTTTCGCAATGTGGTGCGTTGCATTTTGTAACCTTGGCAATGAAGTGACAAAAACATTTTAGATTTAATTGTTGCATAGTTATGATAAACAAATAATATGAGAATATCACAAGCACATCAATTTATGATAAAACACAACTATCTTCTATCTTGGAAACAACATGTTTATACAGAAGTGTGACGTCACTTTAATGAGTTATGATTACCCGTTGCCGTTGTTATATTTAAGTAACGCGATAACAACTTTTTTGTTATCAGTATTAAGTATTTATTGAGTTTTAGCAGAGATAATGCCGCTGAAGTCTTTGAAGACAAAGTTCCGCAAAAATGATATGATACTTCGTTTCATTGTCAAACGTTTGACAATAAATTGGTAATCGATTGATAGAGCTGATCTTTTCGATGATTCGTGAATCACGAATGTCAAACTTAGGTCACCGTGTTTACCTCTCTATAACAAAGTCCGTTAAAGTGAATCATTTAGGGCAGGTGCCCTGTGATATGCACCCGCGGCCTCGCCTGTCTTAGTATTGTGGTTCCATTGTGGTCAGGTATCGTCCTACTTGAAAGATTACTAAACTAAGACGATTCCTATTCACAAACTTCAAGCACAGATGTATACCTACTTCGGAAATAGTTTTCGGGATTGTGGTTAAAGTTTGTATATATCTTACCCTCTTATTAATAAACGAGGAATAAGCTTAAGCCTCATTGGCGAGCTGTAACTGTTGCATAAACTGTAACCAAAAAGCATATTGTGTACGTGGTTCGCTAACCTGCTGCGAGCGGTACGCGTGCGGTTTGCAGCGAGCCAACGTATACAACTAGGTTAGTTGTATACGTGTCGGCACGCTGCAAACCGCGAACACACTAGAACCTCGTACTGTATCACGCATGTTATGTTTACAGCTCGCTAATGAGTACCCATACTAGTTGCACCGTGTTTTGTTCATGTCACTCAAATGTCATTCGTAATTCAATGAACAGAGACAAAACATGGAGTAACTTATCCAAGCTTATTCTTCGTTTATATTAATAAGGGGGTTTGGGTCAGTACGTTTTAGTTGGTACTGCCGTGAGTTTCAATGTAAGACCAGCACCAGTAGGCTAATTGTTTAACTTTACCTCTGTCACTATTTCCCTTCAAAGGTCTCTTTCCCTACCATGAAATTTAAAGGGATGGCGATAGTTAAAAAGTAGCATAATTCGGCCTCAGGCGGACGTGCACTAAAATCGTGTTACAAATTTCAGTTACAATCTTTAGCTAAATACATTTTAATAGGAAAAACAACTAATAGTAAGGGAGCCCAAGCGGGGATTTTTGGATTTACTCGAGCGCGGCAGAATAACATATGGGGAGCAACCTTGCACGTAGTTAAGTACTCCCACCATACCTGAGCCATCTATCATTCAACAAACAGCCATGACTTTTGGTCGGGTCCAAATCGTCAATCTTTTGAATAGGAGCTCCTGGAGGGTTCACGTAACATCCCTACTAAATGTCTGACGCGCTCGGTTATTTTTTCCTTTATTCTCTATTATTTTTCTACCCCTTCGTACGGACACCCCCATATCATGCAAACCGCGGCAGATCAATATTTTTTCCATTCTTAGAAACGTTACATGAATCCTCTAGTAGCTTATATTTAAAAAAACTGACGATTTGGGCGCGACCAAGTCATGACCGTTCGTTGAAATTTTGTTTTTGCTGCCCTAGACGTTCGACCCTACATAGAGGGCTCAGGTATGGTGGGAGTACTTAACTAGGTGCAAGGTTGCTCCCCATATGTTATTCTGCGGCGCTCGAGTAAATCCAAAAATCCCCGCTTGGGCTCCCCTACTATAAGCTATTTTTATAAGTGTGTTCTCCTATTCTTTTTTAGTTTATCTTTAAGGGCTTAAGGCCATTATCATCCAATGTTATTTCCAGTAGGTAATACTTACATTCCAGCCATAAACATTACAATACAAATTTACAATGCGCTTATGTGAACACCTGTTATCATGTAATAACTAATATGTAATCGCATGGTTACTTTCGTTATGCAGTACTGCATGATAAAAATGTTGTTGAAACTGTAAATAATGTTTTATTGATATAGAAACCGATGTATTTGACTGCAAACAAATGACACACAATTTTGTACCATCGTTGTGCATCTGCGGATTGCTAGAGGTAGGTTCGTCTGGAGGGAGGTCGATCCATGGGGTAGGTTCGTTCATCAAGACCATATTCCCTACCCTGTGGAGCCCTGTAAACTTAATCACCGCCAGAAACATAACACTACTCAAAATTGCCCAAAGGTAACAATATTTCAGTGTGACGGAGGTTACTTCTGCAGCAGGGGAAAGATATAAAAATCGCCTGATAACTAGCTAAACTTGTTATTCATAATACTCATAATGCTATATAAAAATAAGTTTAAGATGTCAAAAATAACAATAAGTTTATATCACTGCAATGTGTTGGGATTGAGTACCAGGCTTTTTTATAAATATGAACACTTCCAGTGCCGTCTGACTTAGCCATCATTCTCACATCTAATATATAGGGCGTCAGTGTTGAACCACTTTCAATTGGCCCTAACTAGATTTAACTGGTCGTAATTATATGATTCAAAATTAAATATCGTTTATTCAGTCTAGGCTGTTACAAGCACTTGTGAATGTCGAAAAGCTACGCCATCGGTTCGCAAATCTACGGCATGAGACCTTGTACTGAGAAGAACCGGCAAGAAACTCAGCAAGGGCTGATTTTTTCTCCCTGTTTTATTTCATACAGTGTCGTCCAATTGAAAGTTGACATCAAACTTACAAACATGTGTGGAGGTCAACTTCCATCACATAATGTCAAATATGTAACAATAGACAATCAACGAATTTACTAACAATAAGTGCAAAGAAAAAATCTCAAAATAGCAAGAAACAATTTTCAAAACAAAATGAACAAGTATATGAAAGGGAGTAAGTGCAAGGTTCTCTTCAAAACTCTTTCTAAGGCTTGGAGCCTTAGTTTTAATATAACTTTTGAAAAATTATCTACAGGCAACATTACAACCAAGCCTTTTTTTCATTCAAATATTGATTGACAGTATAATATCCTTTCTTAAGTAAGCAATTCTTAATGTGTATTTTAAATTTATTAGGAGGCAAATCAAGGATATCAATAGGAATCTTATTATAGAAATGTATGACCAACCTTGACCCATGAATGATTTATGAACCTTCTGTAACCTGTAATTTGGTATCTTGAGTTTATTTTTATTCCTAGTATTAAAATAATGTATGTCACTGTGTTTGAGATAGTAGTTAATATTGCTTCGAACAAAAAGTATACAATTATAAATGAATTGTGAAGCAACAGTCAAAAATCCCGATTTCTTTATTTTTTTCTCTAAGAGATGTTCTAGAACTAAGTTGATAAATAGCCCTTACGGCTCTTTTTTGCAAGATAAATATAGTTTCAATATCGGCTGCTGATCCCCAGAGAATAATACCATAGGATACAATACTATGAAAGTAACTAAAGTATACAGTTCTAGCAGTAGCTACATCAGTAAGTTGTATTTTACGTATTGCATAGGCTGCTGAACTAAGTTTACCAGCTAGCAGAGAAATATGAGGATACCATTGCAATTTCGAGTCTATGGTTATACCTAAGAATATCGTTGATTCAACTAAATCTAGGTTTTCATTGTTTAATTTAATTCTACTGGTTTCGCTTCTAACATTAGGTAAAGTGAATTTAATGCATTTGGTTTTATTTGCATTTAATTTTAAGTTATTTACATTAAACCAGTGCAATACTTGTGAGAGAGCATTATTAACATCGTCAAAGTTATTCTTGTATCGGTCAACCTTAAATAATAAAGAAGTATCGTCAGCAAACAATACGATCTCACACAATTTTTGGTCGTAGAACTGTATGGATTGCAAACAAGCATATTTTAAGCTTCCACCGGATAGTAAGCAGACATACTTCTAGGCTGAGGATTAGTGACACCAGTATATCACACCCGCTTAATCTGACCTGATTTCATCTCGTAGTCTCTGAATCATTAGTAAAATTACTCACTGCAGGCAAAACTTCACGAAAATAAAAGAAGAGTTAATTGGCTTTAATTGAAGGAATAAAGCCGCTGAGCCCGCGCCATCTTTAAATAGCTCTTTTTGAAGCCGATAGTAGATACTATTCTCTTCTTATTCTATATTCAGAAGTCATACAATGAGGAATAATGCATAATAAAGTTTTACAACTTTGTCATAGGTTATTACAACAAAATAAACGAGGAAAAGAGCACTTATGGTGGAATTTCAACAGGCAACGGTGATCGTATTTTGTACGTCGGGAAAAATAAGCTGTGGTACGGCACTAAAGCAACTGGGAACTTTGAGGGATGCCTTAGCACAAAATAATAAGACATTTATGCAATTAAAATAGTTTAAGATTTTTTTTATCAAAACCAGCTAAGTGCGAGTATTAATATAAGACCGTCATTGAGCCACTAGTCGCGGCCACAACAGCGTCCGCACACCGAGCCACTATTATAGTCGCGAGTGTTGTGACCACGATTAGTACGCGGATCGCCCCGTTTGCGCCTATACTATACAAAATGTATGAAAAAACTCGTCCTCAGCTTGTGGTCGCGCTTAGTGGCAACGACTAATGGCCCAATGTGCAGTTGCGCTAAAAGTTTTGATTTTGACAACAGGACAAGCAGAAAGTTACGAACCTATTATATTGCTTATGTGGGATCATTACTAAATGTTTATTATTTATTTCGTTATAGACTCATTACAATACATATTCTGTGTACATTTAAAGTAATTGTACACCTAATATGAATGGACCACACCACCACCACTCCAAAGCATGAAAAACGAAATAATGCCTAATTTCGCATTTCAAAATTTTAAACAATTCAACAGTGGTGATCATGACATTAATTAAGCTGGATTTCTGTAACATTTCATAACCTTGTCCTACATCATTTTAAGCCACATAGTAACAAATACTAAACAAACTTCTCTGATTTATGTTTTCTGCAATTTAACTATGTATATAAATTAAGTGACATATGAATAGAACATTAATAACAATCAACAATGACATTACATCTTATAAAACACAATAGTATTGTTTTATGACTTACCATTTTGTAGGAACCTTAGTTTGTCATTCAACTCCTGGTTTTTTACTATAGCTGCACCCATTATCACATCAGAATGGCCGTTCATGTACTTGGTTAGGGAGTACATGACGACGTCAGCTCCGAAATCTAGCGGCCTCTGAAGGTATGACGTGAGGAAGGTGTTGTCTACCACTACGAGAATGTTGCCCCGACTTTTAGCAACCTTCACTACAGCTTCAATATCCACTACTTTGAGTAAGGGATTTGTTGGTGTTTCTAACCAAATCATCTAAAATCGAAGAAAAGGCTATATTAACTAGTCCAGTAGCGATAAGAGCGCAAAAGAAAGGTATCAGTTGTGGTTGCTTCTAATTAGAAGCTAATCTTGCAAATTTGCAAGAGTCTGTCCGTTAACATGTGAGATACTTTAAAAGTTTTGTGGGCTGTGAGCTTGTAAACTAATAGACCGGGAGATGATGACACAAAATACTTGGTCATTTGTACCAGTATGGCGGTTCTTCAGGGGTCTAATTACGTAAAGGCAAAAAGGAAAATGATGGTCATAGCGCTCGCACCGGCGGCCCAATCGCGTGGGCGTTAATAGAACGCGTCGGATAAATAACGAGCGTCGAACGATTTGTTCTACAAAAATGCTTATATTTTCAGATAGTCGAAAAAAAGAAGTAGGCGGTAGCGTAATGCCATACTTCTCGGGTGTGACTTATAGCCCGCCATACCGACGCGAATACATTAATTTAAATAAAACAATTCAACCATTTGTACCAGGCTAATTTTTGCACAGCTAATCATCGTCGAGTAGCCATTCACGAAAATCACCTTGCCATACTTTTCCGACAGTTCCCAATGGCCGCCATACCGCTGCAAAGGAGTATTTTTTTTTTTTTCGCCAAACGATTTGTACCACCCTGAAACTTTTTTTAACAGTTCCCCGTATGATCATAAATAGAAGTCTGATAATGCCATACCTGTGGGAGGTGGCGAATGTGAACAATATTTTTTCAAAGTCCCAAGATTTTATTCGTAATTCGAACGATTTGTACCGGTATGGCGCCACTTTTTCCTTCTACTACAAGTATGGCAAATATAATAATGGTCACATTGTATCGTATGATTTCCAAAAATCCAAATGCCATACTGGTACAAATCGTCAATTTTTTTTTTTCTTTTTCACCTTTTAGCTCAAGTCCGACAGTCATCCGCCCCATGTTTACAATCTGTAATAATTTTCTTTACGTACAATTGCATCCAAATGACGAGAATACAATGATGTCATGATGTAAAAAATGATTTTACGTATTTTGCAGTCGTATTTTTAAAACGTGTCAAATAAATTAGTATTTCAAGTATGGCAGCACTTTTTCCCCCTACTAGAAGTATGGGAAAAATAATAACGGTCACATTTTGCCAAATACTTTCCACAAATTCAAATGCAATACCCGTACACATCGTTTGGCGAAAAAAAAAATTACTCCTTTGCAGCGGTATGGCGGCCATTGGGAACTGTCGGAAAAGTATGGCAAGGTGATTTTCGTGAATGGCTACTCGACGATGATTAGCTGTGCAAAAATTTGCCTGGTACAAATGGTTGAATTGTTTTATTTAAATTAATGTATTCGCGTCGGTATGGCGGGCTGTAAGTCACACCCGAGAAGTATGGCATTACGCTACCGCCTACTTCTTTTTTTCGACTATCTGAAAATATAAGCATTTTTGTGGAACAAATCGTTCGACGCTCGTTATTTATCCGACGCGTTCGATTAACGCCCACGCGATTGGGCCGCCGGTGCGAGCGCTATGACCATCATTTTCCTTTTTGCCTTTACGTAATTAGACCCCTGAAGAACCGCCATACTGGTACAAATGACCAAGTATTTTGTGTCATCATCTCCCGGTCTATAAGGCTAAGAACTCACGGCACGATTTTCTCCCGCGCCCGCCACGGCTGTGAGACCGTACCTCGCGTAGAATGTCATATTGTAGGTAAATCGCAAAAGCAAAACTCGCGCGGCGAGATTTCGCGCCGTGAGTTTTGCATATAGCTCGGGTGATTGCGGCACCCGCTAGACCCGCGGGAATGGTTCGCGCTCTGCGATTTTTTCTTTAGACCGTAAGGCGCGTTCTGAATTCGAACTGCTGTCTCGTGACTCGTGAGTTTTGTAATACAATACGCGAGATAAAATCGCGCCTTAAATTTTTAGTCTTATTGTCTTTTTGCTAAGAACTAGCTTAACAAATAAGTATAAGAAATGTATGTTATTCACGGGATTGCTACCATGTACTTTGTTTTTAGCGAGTTTTCTTACTATAATGTTAGTGACCATGAAAGTTTAAAACAATATAAAGTATAAGAAATATGTACTAATATATATACTAATGCTATTGTGGCTGTGTCTCGTGAGAGCAAATATTGCAGTGAACAATAAAAACTTATCTAGACTATGAATATAATAAAAGCAAAGAGGCTCTAGCAGTTCTCCAGTTCTGACCTTGAGTTAGCACAGGCATTGCAGTTTGTCGCTATTCTGAGGAAAATATATTGACTATTTTATGACTCATTATGAATGTAAGTATTGTTCCAATGAATAGTCCTCACGTCTTTGCCGACAGACTGATACTAATTGATTATGAACAGTCGTAAAGTGAACATTATTTTTGAATGGTGTTGAATTTGTAATGTTACATTAAAGTTGGAACAAAATCTTGAGTTATTAAAATAGTGTTCTTATCTGTTTCCTCATCAGCACATAATATTTAATTTTTGTTATAAAATAATTAATTTTGCCCTCTATTTAAGGTAAAAAATTGTTAACATGTTACTGTAAGTAACATCAGACATTGTGTCTATATTTATCTGATATATTGCATATAATTCAAATGTTATTTTTCTTAAAAAAGTTTACCATGTGTAGCATGCTAATTTGTTATCTATTTGTTAAATACCTTTGTGTTGGGTTTTATTGCCTCAGCTACTTTATCGATTTTTGTGAAGTCAGTAAAACTGGTTTCAATGCCTTGTCTTTCTGTAACTTGTCTGCAACAATGGTTCTCTAATTAGATTAATGAAACACAGCAAAGAGGTTATTTCTTTTCATATTTATTTACCTAAACAATCTATTTGTACCGCCATACACATCATCACTTGATAGGACATGATCACCACTGTTAAGTAATGCAACTAAAGTTGTGGTAGTAGCTAAACCTGAGGCAAATGTTAATCCGTACTTTCCACCATCCAGAGCAGCAAGGCATTCTTCTAATGTGTTCCTGGATGGATTACCAGATCTTCCATATTCAAATCCCTTAAATAAAGACTCTTTATAAATAGTTATTTAAATTAAAAACAAACAATAAATTTGGATTTTAAGAATAAAGATTCATTAAAAATATTACTTTTAGTTGAAGACTTTTGCTGAAATCTTCAGCTACAAACTTACATGAAATTAGTAGTTAACCAAAATAAAATTAAAAAAAGAAATATCAAAATTACAAAGATTACAATATTAATATCAACTCACAGTGTGCTCGGCTGGTGCGGGTTGTTTGAATGTTGTGGAGGTCACAATAGGAGGTACTACAGCTGCAGATGACCATTTTTCTGGCTCTTGACCAGCGTGAATGGCAGTAGTGGCAAAGCCAAGCTTTTGTTTCAGAAACCCTTGATTTTCCATTTGATGGAACTAAGACAAATGAGAAGGTTTAATTGTATCTCTCTGTGCCTTCAATAGTTAGTAGAAAATAAAGATAATCAAGAGTATATTAATAAAAATTATGAACATTTTATTTATTTATTTATACTTTATTGCACAAAAGTATGTACAAGTGGCGGACTTAATGCCATTAGGCATTCTCTACTAGTCAACCGGAGAATTTTAGCAAAAATCTTAAGGTAGTGCAAAAAGAATTCATCAAATTATTTATTATATTTTTATATCTATGGAAACAAGATAATATATATATACTACATAAAATAAATATCTATAGAAATACATAAATAATAATATATATATATTTAGAATATACATACAAATATATATCATATCAGGAGGATGCGGAGGAGGAATCTAATAAATGATGACGTACGGAGCGTTTAAAAGCCAGTTTGTTCGAAGCATCTTGAATATGAGGAGGCAGCAATGATTTTCTTACATTTATTTAAAATTCTGAATTTATACTTATGTCCAAGTACTTAGTATCCAAAATAAATACTTTATTAGAGATAGATAGATAGATATATTCTTTATGGCACACACACAAAAGAACACAAAAAAGGGAACAATAACATTATTAAGGCAAAGGTGGCCTTATCACTTTAAGCAATCTTTTCCAGACAACCTTTGCGGTAAAGGATAGCTAGAGCTTAAGTTTGTTTCTACTCTGACTAAAATAATTAACTCCCTGAATCAACTTTGTTTCAATCCCTAAAAGTTTAACATAATAAAACCTGCTTCCTTTATAAAGCTCTCTTAGTTACGATACCAAAAAATATCAGAATTGTTTCAAAAGTTTCACATTTATTATAAACTATGGGTATCTAGGTATACCAACCTAAATGATATAATACACATGAATTATTTTTATTTTATTTTATACATTAAATTTAACCTTGACTCAAACAGTCAAGGTTACTCATGGTGTTTTAAGAATGTGCTTTAATTACATCATTTCGGATGTCTCGACTGAGACTGGCAAAAAAAAATAACTGTTCATGCTTACTAACCATACGCGGAAAAATTGGTAAAGTCTCTAAAACAATGAAGTTTATTTTACTTACTTTAAAATTCTACGATTTTTGATTGAAAAATCTGATTCACTTCACGGAATACCGCAAATAAGCCGGCTAGCCGAGCAAAAACCAACAAAAAACTGATTTTAAAATTTTGTTACCCTTACTTACATACTGAAATGTCATCTTGACATTTAAAGTAAATTTAGTTCGTACAGCCTTGTTTTTAGTTCTTTAATGGTGTTGATTCTGGTATGACTCTCTAAACTTAAAACATCATTTGGTTGCTTTCCAATTACAGCATTATTGCGCATTATGCGGCATAATGCTTAACGTTGAGTGTTCCAACTACAGCAACGCTTCGCACAATTGAGCACTCTCAAAAGTGATGCTTTCGTGTGATGCGTGCAATGGTACCAACTTAGAGACAGAAAATTAACAAGGGTTATTTCTTTAAGTTGGCATTGATCGAAATGTTTTATTTATATGTTATCGTTAGTAATATTATTTATTGTTGAAAAATTATCAAAGCTTTCGTTTCATTAAATAGTTTTTTTTTAAATAATCAAAGTTCATTCAAACTGTTAAAAAATAAATATAAGTATGGATGAAGGTACAAACATTGACTTTTTTTTCAACACTGAACTTAGCGCACTCTGCTGGTGCATTTGAAAACTAATTCACGTTCCAATTAAGCATTAGCATAATTGGGCATTGTGCGGCACTGAGTCGCATTATGCTCTGTAATTGGAAAGCATACAGTCTCTCCTTATCCTTCTGTATCATAGTTCTGTGTAATAAAGAATGACAAAGATACAGTTTGTCTATTAAGTCGTGACATGAATGTTTGAGGAACTAACATTATTCATGTGTCTGGCAACACCAAACTTATGTACATCAGCTGTCATCGAGTTTCAGTTGTGGAACAGTTTTCCTTTTGTATTTTTTATTGTTTGGATTAAACTGTAATAAATTAAGACGAAACTACGCAGAAAGGTATAAAAATGATTAAAGTAAATCGGAGTGGCACGCGGGAAGTGATTTTTAAAGTTTTCCAGCGATGTTTCGAAGACTACCGAGCTGGACGAATTTTGTGGGATTTGGATGATGTTTATGGGCGAACAGCATCTATGGCGGGTATGTAATCGTGTAACTATTTGTTTGTAATCTGCCTGAAATTACAAATTTACTCAATTTACGATTTTGAGACCAAAAAAGGCATTGTTTACATTGCACATTTTTAGGTTAGATTGACATTGTAAATAGGTAACATTGTAGTACGACCATTTCTTTTGATTCGTTATTATGGGTCAGGTTTTCTACCACTTTTGAATTAATTGCTTCATGTCAATAAGTTATTGTTTCTATTCCGTTACATATTTTTTTACTTTTTTTCTCAGGAAAATCAGAGAGTCGGATAGTCAACGAAGGTTTTGAGAATAATGGAAAGTTTAAAACTCCTGGGAAAACAGGCAAGGCCGGCCAAAGAAAGAAATGGTCACATAAAGAACCATGGCCAGATGCTTTTAGTGAAGATACCTAATTTTACTAACTGCACATTTACAATTTTTTTCTCTAAATAAACTTTTTATATACTATAAAATGATTTTTAGTATTATTTTCTTAACAAGTGTGTTAAAAAACGTCGTATGTTGATACTTGTGTGTATTGATGATTACCTAACGGCTCTGGTATCAATGGCACCTCAGCGGTAATCACCAACATTACACACTTTTACACTATAAAGTACTATTTTATCTATAATAATTTTATTCCGATTCAATTAAATATGCTTCGCTAAACCTTTGATAAGCATAGGTACCTACTATATATAAAACAGAAACAAAATACGACTGTATAGTGTGTCTTATTAATTACATATTTTACTTGAATGAACTGCTAGTATCAAAATCATTTTAGACCGTATAGGGTTGCTACATGCATACTAGTGGCGCCATCATTTAATGTCACGACTTTATAAACAAACTGTACACTGCTGTCAAATTTAAATATTAGGTTTGGAGAATCTTGCCAGAATCGACATAATTGTTTGCTACGCGATGGTATATGGCCTAACAGTTTTGATAACGGTGATTGGATAGAATTTGTTTTGATAACATGTTTTGTTAAAAAATTGGCGCAGGAGACCCGGCTTAATGCTCATGAGCATTAGTGAATAATTCCACAATAGCGTCTTAACGTCCATGATGTTAGTGTTCACCCGATCAAAGTCGAGGTTGTTATGTTGCCTAAAATTCTATGATTTTAACATTTGACACATTGGTGTCGATTCTGGCATGATTCTCTAAACCTAAACTTGTATCCTTCCAAGATACAGGTTAGCCAAATTTCTTCTTTTTGATAAATAGAAGACGAAAAGATATGAAATGAAATTGAAGGAAGGGACCAAGTCAAGGTATAAGTATTATATATTATGTAACTCCCTCAACTCCATGGTGTTTTATTAAATATACATACAGAGTTAACCATGGGGTTTTACATTTTTCGGCATTTAATAGCTTTAAAAACAAAGACACCTACTATAGAAAGGTAGTATATTTTTAGGTCCTCACAACAGTGTATCCTTGTTATTCTCTATACAGAATGCATAGGATAGACCAATGTTAAAAAGTTTAGAGAATCATGCCAGAATCGACATTAGAGTTATTTAAAATAATGGGGCTGTATGGATTTATAATTCTAAGACTTATTGAAGGAAAAAAAGAAAACATAAATAAAATCCCGCCAATTCTGATTCTTGTCAAAAGTTGTCTATTCCGCTGAACGGGCTTTGCCTAAAAATTTTATTTTCAAAGTTTAAATGAGAATGATATTACTTCCTACGTTTTAATTAATAACTTGTTTTCTATCACTAAAGTCAAAATATGAAAATAGAAAGCAAACCTCTGCGATACGCCCATGCAGAGGGCCACACCGATGTTTGTTATTCTGATGATGGACAGTAAGTTTTGTTTAGATTTAGTATATTTGAAGTTAACTAGGTACTGTAAATGTAATTCATACTGTATATACAACGTTAAACTTATTTCAGACACCTGATAACCTGCGGCAACGATGGTGATATTAGGATTTGGGTTGATATTGAAGATGATGATCCTAACTCCCATTGCGTAGGAGAGAGTGCACTGGCAGTGTGTTATAAAGACAAAAGACTTTATGTTGCTACAGATAATCACGCAGTGCAAGCATATACATTTCCCTCATTTGACAAAGATGGCATAGTTACCAGATTTACTGCACCAGTTACTCAGATCAAATCAACAAACAAAATAGAGGTATGACTATGCAGTAAACAACAAAAAATTGTGATACTGTTATGGAAAACCAATTGTATGTATTCTGCTTATATTAGTCAAATAAACAAAATGGTTTATTTCAATTCATGCTATTTTTATGCATAACTTTTAAGGCCCTGGGCTGCTCATCTGAGAACATGGAAGCAAGAATTTGTAGTATTGAGGGTGGAGCACCATTGTTCACTATGGAAGGTCACAAAGGTCCAGTTCTAAGCATAGCTGTGTGTCCTCACATGAAATTCGCTGCAACTGCTAGCGGTGATGGTGTTCTGAGAATATGGGATATTGACACACAAAAAATTTTGAAGGATATCAATTGTATTCCAAAAATAAACTCATTTTATGCAGCCAAAGTGTTATGTAAGTTATGTTCTATTATTTAGAGCTAAATTATTGTTGATGCGGAACAAATACTTATTAACAATTTCATAGTGGGTTTCGACTGTTCATTATGAGGTCACATTATTTGTAATTTTGGACAGTTACACTTTGAAAAAAGAATGTAGAATATTAAGTTGAATTGTTCAATTTATAATTTTAGTCCTAACATTATCAAGTTTAATCATAAAATTATTGAGTTATTATTGAATAACTAGCTTTTGCCTGCGACTTGGTCAGCGTGGACTAAGTGACTTAGACTTCAGGTAGCAATTTATTAGGTATCAATCTGCCTACTATTTGAAAACTAAAGTTAGTGGTTTTATATTTGAAAACATAAATAACATGTCAAATTCAGGCTAATTTTAAGTTAAGAAGCGGGACATTTCCTGCATAATTCAATGACTGCAATTCAAGATCCAGATAATTTGTAAAAATATACATAGATCCTGATGTGGCTTAGATCGATTTCAGAGCAGAACAGAGAAACTTAGAAAAGTATTAAGAAAACCATAAAATTATTGTCTAGGATGGAAATACTATAGCTAATAAAAGGATTACTTAACAATGAGATAGCTTTCGAAGGTTTGTCAGTATTAGTAGTAATAATTACTGTGATTCATTAACAGATGAACAAAAAAGTATACATTTTGGGAATCTGCAAAACTGTTGAATTTCATTTGATGTTGCCAAAAATAAGGATCAAAGTCTTAAAACATACTTTTCCAATAGGCCCAAGGGCAACGTGCCCATGAGATAAAAGTAAAAGTATCTGTGCACTACAGTAACAGTAAAAGGTCTGTAACGATTAGATTATAAATGTTGAGGTCCTTTGAAAGACAGAAATACTTGTGGTAAACACTGAGGATGCAGTAGGCAAATCATTTAGTAGAGTTTTTAAGCACTGAATATAATGCAACTGGTATACCATATCACAAAATTTTGACCACATTTTGATACACTTTTTTATCATGTTCTTATTTACCTAAACTTAAAATTTGTTGTAAATTTGTCATTGCAAGTCAGGCCTAAATATTAAACAGAAGGTGTCAGTAAAATTAATCCATATAAAACATCAACACTCTCCCAATTAGGGGGTAAGTTAGTAAAACTAAAAATGAAATACTTTATATTTTATTTAGATAAGTATTTGAGTGAAGTTTCAAGTCTATTAACTCTAGGAATAAGATAAGAAAAGAAATAAGGAACCTACGTGCCAAA